TTCCTGGGGGTCCCCAGGCCTGCTGGCAAAACCATGTCTTTGGTGTCTTTTGAACGGGTATTAGAATGGGCCAAATTTATCTTCCCGGGGATGATGTTCCACAGGGAGGGGGCCACCACAGAGAAGGTCCTTCTCCTTGGTCCTATCAAATGGATCTCCTTAGGAGAGGAGACCTAAACTTCTTTAATGTAAATAATAATAACAATAATAATAATAATAATATGGAGGAGGAGGAGATGATGATGATGATTATTATTACTACTACTACTACTACTACTACTACTACTACTACTACTGATCATTGCACAGTCAGCCAGATGTTCAGACTGGATTTGGCATTTTTGTCTACCTCTCGAGTCCTTCCCAAGGACCTGGGATAGGCAGATGTGGATGTTTGATGTTATTACAGATCTCGTCGCAGGATGGAAGCGGTTCCTAGTAAGGCCGCCTTTTGCAATTGACTAATAGCGAATTTGTCAATGCCAATGGTGTCCAAGTGGTGCTCCAGTTGTTTTGGGATTGCACCCAAGACGCCTATTACAATTGGTGCTACCCTTGTTTGCTTTTGCCACAGTCTTCCTATTTCTATTTGTAGGTCTTTGTATTTTGTTATCTTCTCCAGTTCTTTCTCGTCTATTCTGCTGTCTCCAGGCACTGCCACGTCCACTATCCAGACTTTTTTGTCTTTCTTATCGACAATTGTTAAGTCCGGGGTGTTACGTTGCAGGTGCTTGTCTGTTTGAATTTTGAAATCCCAGAGCAGTTTAACTTTATTAGTTTCTATGACTTTCTCTATTTTATGATCCCACCAGTTCTTGTTTGCAGGCAAATGATATTTCTTACAGATCTTCCAATGCACCATTGTTGCTACTTTGTCATGCCGCTGTTTGTAGTCAGTCTGTGCAATCTTCTTGCAGCAGTTTCTTCTTCTTCTTCTTCTTCTTCTTCTTCTTCTTCTTCTTCTTCTTCTTCTTCTTCTTCTTCTTCTTCTTCTTCTTCTTCTTCTTCTTCTTCTTCTTCTTCTTCTTCTTCTCCTCCTCCTCCTCCTCCTCCTCCTCCTCCTCTTCCTCCTCCTCCTCTTGTTGTTGTTGTTGTTGTTGTTGTTGTTATGGATCATCGCACAGTCAGACAGATGTTCAGGCTGGATTTGGCATTTTGTCTACCTATCGAGTCCTTACCCAGCTCCTGGGATAGGCAGATGTGGATGTTTGATGGTATTACAGGTATCGTCTCAGGATGGAAGCAGTTCCTAGTAAGGCCGCCTTTTGCAATTGACTAATGGTGAATTTGTCAATGCCAATGGTGTTCAAGTGGTGCTCCAGTTGTTTTGGGATTGCACCCAAGGAGCCTATGACTATTGGTACTACCCTTGCTTGCTTTTGCCACAGTCTTTCTATTTCTATTTGTAGGTCTTTGTATTTTGTGATCTTCTCCAGTTCTTTCTCGTTTATTATTATTATTATTATTATTACTACTACTACTATTATTATTATTATTATTATTATTATTATTACTATTACTACTACTACTACTACTATCTAGACTTGGCACAGAACTGCATTTTTAAACAGTTGAAGCCTCCAGATACTTTTCAAGGGCGGCTCCATGTAGTGCACATCGCAGTAGTCTTTCTTTTCTTTGCAACTTTTCTTTGCAACTTCCTATGTTTTAGGCCTGGAGACTAAAACATACGAAGAACAGTTGCAGGATTTTAGTATGGCCAGTCTAGAGAAAAGAAGGACCGGGGGGGGGGGACATGATAGCAATATTTCAGTATTTGAGGGGCTGCCACAAAGAAGAGGGGGTCAATTTATTTTGCAAAGCACCAGAAGTCAAGACAACAAACAATGGATGGAAACTGACCAAACAGAGAAGCAACCTGGAATTAAGGAGAAATGTCCTAACAGTGCGGACAATTAACCAGTGGAACTCCTTGCCTTCAGAAATTGTGGGTGTTTCATCACTGGAGGTTTTTAAGAAGAGACTGGATAGCCATTTGTCTGAAATAGTATAGGGTCCCCTGCTTGAACAGGGGGCTGGACTAGAAGACCTCCAAGGTCCCTTCCAGCTGTATTCTGATTGAATTGAATAGTCTCGATGAGGACCCGGGCGATGTATCAGCCATCACTTCCATTTGTGCCCCTTTATGGGAATTATGAAACACCCAAGTCACAAACACCTCCGAAGAACACGAGAGATCGCAGAGGGTTAAGATGTAACGAGTTCCCATGTTGAAGGATGACAACACCCCCAGAAGGCAAGCCCAAAATTGGCCAGCTTCACGGTCGTAACGTCTGACTCACCTTCGCTGACTTAAAAAAACCAAAAATAGACCAGGTTTCTGCCAGAAATGTGTCCAGATGTAAGCTGCACCTAGGAAATTGGGGAAAAAAAATATGGCCTGGGTGGGAGAACGCAATAATAGCACAGCGGTTGGTTTTGCAGCCAAGAAAACGACAGGGACCTGACAAGATTCACCCAAGGCAGCTTCCTTTTAAATCAAAAATTGCTCAGTTCTAACGCTTTTTCTCCTGAAGGATGTGAGGGACGAGGGCGGAGGGTCCTCGTGGATGTGAAGAATGTCTAATAAGTCAGAGATGCTTCTGATCTTTCCGTTTAATCCCCGGGGGATGAGAAGAGTAGGAGAGACAATCGGTGCGAATCAGAAGCCCCACGGATTCCATTTTATTTTATTTATTTTTATTTTATTTTTAAAATTTATAAGCCGCCCCACTCCCGAAGGACTCTGGGCGGCTAACAATAAAAACACATAAAACATAACAAAACAAACAGTACAAGAACAGTCATCCAGGGGTTAGGTTTTATAAACCCCAGGCCTGCCGGAAAAGCCAGGTCTTAAGCAGCTTACGGAAGACCAACAGGGTGGGAGCGGTCCTAATCTCTGGGGGGAGCTGATTCCAAAGCGTGGGCGCCATCACAGAGAAGGCCCTCCTCCACGGCCCCGCCAAATGTCACTGCTTGGCCGACGGGGCCTGAAGGAGGCCCAGCCTGTGGGATCTAACCGGACGTAGGGAACTATGAGGTAGTAGGCGGTCTCGCAAGTAGCCTGGCCCTGAGCCATATAGGGCTTTAAAGGTAATGACCAACATCTTGAATTGGACCCGGAGACCAATAGGCAACCAATGCAGCTCGCGGAGGATAGGTGTAACGTGGGTGTACCGAGGAGCACCCGCTATCACTCGCACGGGTCCATTCTGGACCAACTGTAGTCTCCGAATACTTTTCAAGGGTAGCCCCATGTAGAGCGCGTTGCAGTAGTCCAAACGTGAGGTGACAAGGGCATGAGTGACTGTAAGGAGAGCCTCCCAGTCCAGGTAGGTGTCACTTTTCACTCGGCGAGTCGGGGTTGCCCTGCAAACAGATGCCAGGGTTAAAATCCTGGCGGGATCTAGCCGACATTAAGCTCTGCCGATGAGCTGATGGTAAAACGATGGGTCAACCATTGACACTTTACACAGAGGAGGGTAAGGTGTGAGTCACTGCCGTTCCTCCGACGACAACAGCCTTTGCCAGCCGTTCAGTTGCACCTGGTGTGAGTCTGGAGCCGTGTTTAACTTCATCTGGAGTCCTCTGGCAGCTGAAGGAGGTACAGAAGAGCAGGTAGCCAGGGGTTCAGCTCAGCAAAGCTTAGGGAAGCTGTCATCTTTATTCCCAGGAGTGATGGATGGATGGATGGATGGATGGATGGATGGATGGATGGATTACATTTGTATGTCCTCCATCTCATTATCAAATGACCCAGAATGGCTTACAATTCCATAAACATCCCAAAGATGCTTCTTCAGGAGGCCACTGGATTCCCTTGTTTTTTTCTTTGAAGATGTTTCGCTTCTCATCCAAGATGGATGGTGGGGAATAGAAGGGTTTATCATGGCTGGCTAGGGAATTCTGAGAGTTGAAGTCATAATAATAATAATAATAATAATAATAATAATAATAATAATAATAATAATAATTAATAATAATAATAATTATTATTGCAAAAGGCGGCCTTACTAGGAATTGCTTCCATCCTGCGATGATATCTGTAATACCATCAAACATGGACGTGGCAGTGCCTGGAGACAGCAGAATAGACGAGAAAGAACTGGAGAAGATAACAAAATACAAAGACCTACAAATACAGATAGAAAGACTGTGGCAAAGGCAAGCAAGGGTACTACCAATAGTAATAGGCGTCTTGGGTGCAATCCCAAAACAACTGGAGCACCACTTGAATACCATCATCGGCATTGACAAATTCGCCATTAGTCAATTGCAAAAGGCGGCCTTACTAGGAACCGCTTCCATCCTGCGACGAGATCTGTAATACCATCAAACATCCACAACTGCCTATCCCAGGTCCTTGGGAAGGACTCGATAGGTAGACAAAATGCCAAATTCAGTCTGAACATCTGGCTGACTGTGCGATGATCCATAATAATAATAATAAAGTTGGAAGGGACCTTGGAGGTCAACTAGTCCAACCTGCTGCTCAGGCAGGAAACTCTATACTATTTCGGACAAATGGCTGTCCCATCTCTTCTTAAAAACTTCCAGTGTTAGAGTATTCACCGCTTCTTGGGGCAGGTTGTTCCACTGGTTAATTGTTCAAACTGTCAGGAAGTTTCTCCTTAGTTCTAGGTTGCTTCTCTCCTTGATTAGTTTCCATCCGTTGCTTCTTGTCCTGCCTTCAAGCGCTTTGGATAATAGCTTAACTCCCTCTTTGGGGCAGCCCCTGAGATATTGGAAGACTGCTATCATGTCCCCCCTGGTCCTTCTCGTCATTAAACTAGACATACCCAATTCCAGCAGCCTTCTCTTATATGTTTTAGCCTCCAGTCCCCTAACTGGAGGCTAAAAGTCTTAAAAGTTGCCAAGGTTGGACACCCCTGAGCTAGGATGTTAAGTGTGAATACAGTAGAATAGGGACTTCTGCTTGCTATGCTTTTACAGAGTCTGAGCACTTACGTTCCGTTGTTGCACTCTATTCTTTGCAG